TATTTTATTAAAGATTATTGCAGCTCTAAAAATTCAATTTGCTTTAATTATATGTCTATGAGTTACGTCTGAATTACATATATATGTAATGAAACCCCTTTTCATCACTTAAGACATGCAGGCAAAAAACTATAGAAAACTACTCCGAAACGAATATAGCTAAATAGTATTTAAAAGATATTTTTAAACTTAAGCCACAGTATCTTTGTTTAATTGATGAAATTAAGCAACTCCTATAAGCAAAAATTTCTAGCTAATATTTCAATAAATTTCTATAACGAAAATATATTATTATTTTCTTATTATTATATATTAATATGAAGAATGTAATAATTTTGGTTACAGTAAAAATAAACTAAATAATAATTTTAGATATTTAGTAATCTCGTTTCTTAGAAACTTCTGCATTATTCTAAACAAAAACAATCACAATATTTCATCTAAGGTACTTTAAATGAAGTCTTCAAATATTTTATTTGAATTTAAAGCAAGTAAGTATTAAACTGAAAAACATAGGATACAGTAAATATAATTAAACTTAACCAATACAGAAGAACAAGTTTGAGTAAATTTAGCCTAAATAATGAATTAAAAAAAGGTTTCGTAAATATCATGCAACTTATATGATGTTATTGAATTTTGTTGAGTTGAAATCTTTTAAAAAAAAAGTGGAAAAGAAGTTTTCTTTAAGAACCATTTCTGATAATAATAGATTTAAATAATTAAAATTTCCGTATTATCTAAATAATATTTATTTACTTTATTTAAATAAGTATTTATTTTTATAATTTGTTACAAAGCATTAGTAACAATCACGAAAACTTTTCTGAATATTGAAAGTATTTTACAGAAAGGGCACAGAACATTCTCATAGATTTATGAGTCGATTGAAAATATTTTAAAATTTAAATAAAATGTTGAATATAATTTTTATGTATTTTTACTTCTTGATAATTGAAAAAACAACGCATAAATAAAGTACCTTTTTTATCACTTAAATAAACATTTAAATAAGAAATAATTGGCAAATTCTTGCATTTGAAACTTCCATCATATTTTTACCCATTACAACAATGGTCTGAAATATTTTTATTCTTCAAATGTAGTTACCAAGATTCGACTTACAAATTAGATAAGTTATTCCAACAGATTCTGTTATATTGCCAAAGTTAACAATAGCTGTGCAATACAGAGTTATTAAAGTTATATAAATTATAAAGTGCATTAAAATTTAGAGAAAATATTACTGCATAGCAAACATTTAGAATTATATAGAGCGTCCCATAAGCAATCTTGTAATGAATATTTTCACAAATATTGTCTGAAATACTTCTTTTGAAATGCTTTATATATANTATATATATGGTATGAGGGATGGTGAGTGGAGAACACCCTGCATTAAGGTAATAAAAGGTTAATGTCAGCACTGAGGAGAAAAAGTATGGTCAAAATTACCAGAATATGGTAAGTTAAATTTACTATGCTTCTGCCTCTAAGAGAACACCAAAATGATCGGTAATTTTCACCGATGCGCTTTGTTAATAATTTGGTAAATTAATAAGAAAATACGATTTCATAATGTGGAATAATTTTTTAATGCGTAACAATTTGTTATTTTTATCATGATGCTTTAAAGCAGGGTATAAAAACCATTTATTTGGTTAAATTCATTTTTTATATTTTTACTAATTTTGAAAACCAAAATTTTCACTAAACCGTTAGCGAATATATACGAAAGATTTTCAAACGAATGGTTTAAATAACGTACGCTTTTGTTTTTATTACTAAAATTATGTCTTTTTGCCGGAAATATAATTACCATGTAATACGGTAATTTTGCCAGAATTTTTTTCTCCATGAACCATAACTATAAATAGCTTTCAAATAAATTAATGTATTTACAGCATATTCAATTCAATGTAATTATAGAGTTCATATACAATTATAGCACATTATAATGAATGTATGATATTTACAATAAAATTGACAAATAACTCGATAAAATTTAAATTAAAGAAGCTAACACATTTCTCTACATTTTTAAGCGCAAAAACATTTAACTGTTAATCTATAGTCAGTTATTTAATAATTATATTTTATTCATGATATGTGTTGAAATGGAATATGAGTACGTTAATAATATTTTTCAAAAATTGTTTGATAGTAATCACATAGCCATGCATAAATTACTTACTAAATTCAGAATATTTCATTATAAAAGTAGGAAATAAGCTAAGCTAATTAATTGCTAGGATTTATGTTTACAAATGAATATAATAGATAACATATAATGTTTTTTGGAGTTTACCTATGAAAAAAGACTACATAAATAATGCTACCAATAAATCTTGTAAATATTTAGATCAATAATTAGCTATCGTTTGAAAGTGATTAATAAAATTTTTCAAAAATTTAAAGATATTTTAATTATGTGTCATTTTTGTTAAAGTAACATATTTTTCGCAAATTAGTATTAAAAATTGTTCAAAAACATAATTTTGTGTAGAGATAGTTGTAAAAAAAACCGACGAAAATTCTATTGGAAAGATTGTCCATAGTTTTAAATCTTTACATTTATGAAGCCAGTATACTACGCAGCATATAAGAAAAATTTTGAAAGGAAGGCAAAAAAATGTATGAGTAATTATTTTTTTACGTAGGACTACTTTCACTCTTAACTTAAGAGGTCTAGAGTTTAACCCGATATAATTTAAAGATCTCGATAAAAATTTGTTTTTATTTGATTGAATTGTATAAAAATTAGTCGTATCTAAAATTATTCTGATTAGATAAGATCTCATGTAAATAATCTAATTTACACAATGTACATATTTTTTGTTTTGATCTAATTTTTAACGTCGAAATTCTAAGTACCAATAAGTTATAATTAAAAAAAATAGTTGTGTAACTCAAAAAATATTCAAAAATTTCAGAAATGTTTCTATTTTAAAAAAATCCTTTTAAATCGAAACACACTTTTATAAAACTTTTAAATTTAGTTTTCACAAATAAAGAAAAAAATATCTCAAAAATCAGATATTTTTTTATTGCTTAGTTATTGGACATATAGCTAGGACGGAAAGCTCTTAATTTTTTTTATTTGCTTCTGGGTTAAGTCTGGGTCGAATTATCCTCTTAACAAATGGTGCTTCGACTACTTGCAATAATAATTCGCATCTACTAATAAATCTACTCACAGAAATTTAAACTAATAGTTAAATGATCAATGCATAATGAATTAAACCATGCATAAAAATGTATGGTAAAAATATGAGAAATAAATTATTATTTAATGATCTAGATAAATACTTCGTTATTTAACTGTTATTGCATTTAGCCAAAAAGTCACCCACCTCAAATATGATTTAAGAAAAAAATTCTTTAATGATCGTTTTGTTTTCATCATGGTTTTAAAAATTATTAAGTGATCATTTTTCTTTCTGGTATTAAGCAAAATATTTATGCTTCAAGAATTTACGAAATAAAAATATCGGAAATTTCTAACATCACCATATTTTATCATTTTTATCATGTATAATTAGTCAGTTATATAAGTAAAATTAAAAATTACAGGGAATAACCACTTTTTTAATAAGTTTAATTCCTTTAAATATAACAAAATACATAACAAAATATTTTATCTAGTAAAGTTTTAATTGGGTTTTCTGCATTTTTGGAATGTAATAAGTATGTTCAATAATAAGCACTCATGCATTTAAATTCTACATGAAGCTTATTTAAATATATTGATTGGAATTTATAATTAAATAATTTGCTTAGAATATTATATAATGCTTTTCTTCACATATGGATTTCTAGGTGAGCAACATAAGCCCTATATAGCGAATAAATTATTAAACATTATACATTTTAAGTATTATATATTTTAAGTATAAGCATATAATTATGCATTACAATATATTATTTGGTTAAAAATAATCTATCGTAAATAAAATTTATAAGAAGAGTTTAGTGATCAATTAAATTAATCAAGTAAATGTGAATCTTAGTTGCATTTTAACACCATCATTAGAATTTAAAATTAAACAATTTATTTAGAATATAATAAAATGTTTTTCTTCACATATGGTTTTTTAGGTGAGCAACATAAGCACTATATAGTAAATAAAGTATTAAGCATTATACATTTTAAGTATTATATATTTCAAGTATAATGTATATAATTGTGCATTACAATGCATTATTTGCTCTAAAATTATCTATAGCAAATAAATTCTTATAAGATGAGTTTAGTGTTCAAGTAAATTAATCAAATAAATGTGAATTTAAGTTGCATCTTAACACCTTCACTATTAAAGCTGTTATATAATAAATTGTAAATTATGTACTATGTAATATTAGAATAGTAGATCACAAAGCTTACTTTGATTTAAAATATTTGATGATAAATTGAAAGAATAAAATTCATATTTCATTTTAAAACTGAAATGTATATTATATTTTATGAAATAATTAGCTTCTTGAATCAGTTTCTCAAAATTTTCTTTTCAATTCAACTTAAGAATTTTTGTCTCACCATGTTTATTATGTTATTAAACATAGTAACAAAATTAAGCATTTAAACAAAACAAAACGTTTAAGCAATAAAACAAATACGAACAATAATTTTTCATTAAGGGAACACGGGACTATTCAAAATAAAGAAAGTGATATCAAATTTTAACATATTGTTACCATTAATAGAAGTCTGTGTACACAGTTTTAGAAAAAAGTAGTTTTAAAGTTATAGCTAAAAGTATGGTTTTTAATTTTTGGTAATTAAAAAGTTCCTTGCGAACGAATGTTAATATTTTTAATTAAAGTTTTACCAAAATATGTTGTTTATAGGCATTTAAATAAATTTAAGTGGTTATGGTTACCGTATTAAAATATAACGTAACTAAATATAAAATTTTTATTTTGTCACCAAACATTTTTTCAAAAAACAAGCTTAGATTGTCTTTGTTCAAATATTAAGAAAATTAAATTAAGATCTTGAGTCAATCAAATGTAAAATGTATTTAGAATTAAAGAAGACACGTCGAAGAGAATTAAAAAAATTAATAACAATAAAACAAAAACTGGTGAGCAAGGAACTTTCTGAAGTTGTGCAAATATTTTAAAACTCCATTACGAGAAAAAGCAACTACGTCATCGAGAACTGCATATTGATGTAAGGACCTTTACAAATTCATAAACTTATAACTCATAAAGAAAAACTCAGATTTAAACACGGGTTTTTGCTTACTACTAAGTAAAGTGAATTTTTTTTAATATCTAAAAAACAACATAAAGGGTTTTTGAAGTTTTAATAAGTATTAATACGTTAATTATAATAAGTATTAGTACAAATAAGTGTTTTTAAAGGGTTTTTCTCTTTTTGAGCGTCCAGCGTCCAATAAAAACTAAACAGAATTATTTATGTTAATCAATTTTTTTCTCATGATGCAGAAACATTCATATAAACCATTCAAGACACTGAGAAAAACATTATTTGAGATAATGAGTAATTTGATTCTTTCACTATTTGAGCTTTCTAGAAGTAATTGTTGGAGTATACGGCATAAAAACATTACAAATAAATATTCATACTTAATCTTCTAATATTTGCCTAATACAAAAATAGCAAATGGAATGTAAATAAATTATCTAATTAAAATACAGTAATGTTTTTTTGTTAATATTTGGCATACAAAGAATTGAATTTCATTTTGCTAAGTTTGTCACAATATTATCATCATCACAATACGATGTAAACTTTTCAATAGGAACATCTCCTTCAGAAGATAATTTTTGATTCAATTTTTCTGTTCATTTTTTTGTAAAACATAAACAACGTTTTTTTAATATAAAGCCACATGAAGCAGTAGTTTCCCATTAGACTTCAAGAGGAAACATTTTGTAAAAATATTTATATTGATAGTATATAATATTTATAGATTGTAGCATTTTGTTTTCATTCACATTTTATTTCTCTTTCTTGCTAAATGTACCAGAAAGCTTACTAAATTCCTGTAAAAGAAATTCTTAAAATTTTCATCAGAAATGTCAGTAAGTTACTCACTCTTGTTTTTATTGCACAAATGAGAACAATAATTTCCATAACTATAAAATATTTATGTTAAATATTGCATTTTTTCTTTGGCAGTATATATTTTTTTAAACATTTTTTTTTAATTTTACGCTTCTGATCTACAGCATTATTATTTCTTTTCTTCTAAATTTTTCCAAAGAAATTAAAAAACCCTGACAGGTGTTTCATAAACATGTCGAGACTTTGTTGCAAGCATATTCCTACAAGGAAAGTTTCCAAATGTTTGCACAAAGCTGAAATACACTGCATGTTATATTGCATCTTTCAACATGAAGTGGATGATCTGCAAAAACAGTTCCAATAACCACATTTACGATAAAGAGCTCGTTTACGACGTCTACGCCACTTATGGAAGTCTTCAAGTGATTTACCTACAAGTAAAAGATATAAGTATTATATAAAACACTAATGTTAGAAAAACAATGCAATTTCTTTTTCGCGTCGCCAGCAAAAGAAATGAAAATTTAAATAATATCCAGTGATTGAGCCACTATAAGCTTAATCACTTTAAAACGCATGATTATATTGTACTTTTTTTTATTTCGTGGGAAGGAAAAACTGAAACAAGAGGGCAAAAATGAAAAGTTAAAAAGTAAGCAACTGATATAATCAAAGTTAATGACTCCTGTTCGTGAGAAAGGGAGAGTTCGAATTCAAGCTGCCGAAAACTCCTCGTGTAGTAAATGGTGACTGGTGAACGTTAAATCTGTCGAATCACAAAGTCCATGTTCCCATGACAAATTAGCCGACCAGTGGCCGAGTGGTTAACGTGTCTGACTGCGGAGCCATTAGCCGCGGGTTCGAATCCTGCTCAGAGCATGGATCAGAGCTCAGAGCTTCCTCTCTCTGTGTGTTCTGTCCTTTCTTTGTGTGAATGTGACCCGCCCTATAAACGGGTTTCTGGTTGTGTGACGTGGGTGATGCTACTCCACCACCATGGCGTCGCCACAGGTGCCCACTGGGTAACGAGAAAAGAGTAGCCATTCTGGCATTCTTGTGGAAAATGGGACAATTCCCAAGTGCCCGCCATTAAAATAAAATAATAATAACAAATTATACTCCTGGGGGTACTTGTATTGGAAATTGATAGCTCTCTAGTTCAGGTCAAAATGACGATCTGTGGATGAATGAGCGGATGTATGAATGGGTCCACCCTGTAAACGGATGTGACGCTTGGGTGTGTCGGAAGTCAAATTATTATCTATAGATGACGCCACTAAAAACAAAGACCAATAGCATACCTGCCAACTTTTACGCATTTGGCGTAAAATTTTATTTTTATATTTAAAGTGGTAGTAAATATACCCTGAG